GCCTCCTGGGAACTCAAACTGGTTTTACATCAGCTTCCCTGCCTTCTTCTCCCTTACATTCACTCCTGCAGTAAAATTCATGAATGAAAGGATTGCTTTCCTTTGGGGCTGGGGATTACTGCTTGACCCTTCACATTTTACACATCAGAAGCTACTTGACATGAAAGCTGGCAGCTTCTCTCCTTACAGCTTTAATCAATCATTCTGGCCTTTTTTTTTTTTTTTTAATCACCCTGTTGGGTTGCCTCTCCAGCCTGCAGTTTCTTCCACCTCTGAAGCATCTATGAGGAATTTCTGTGGGACTCATCAACATAACAAGTCATTTGTTTCTGTTGCTATCCTTAACTTCCTTGAGAGATTTATCAGGCCTCCTTACAGCTTCTTGGTTTCATCAGTCGGGTGCAACATTCCTAGGAGCCTCATTAAAGCACCTAGTGTTATAATGAGCTGTGGGACCTTCTGCAATGCTCTGCAGTCTCAGGTGCTGCCCCACTAATTAGAGTTTTCTTTTTCATTAGTCAGGTTGCTAAGAGGAGTGATTTTTAATAAGCACATAATGAAAGAGATTTCTTTTGTGAATAGTATTCTTTTCTCATGTAAGAAGCAAAAATAACTTATGTCATTTGAAATGGACTTGTTTTCATTTCTTTCTTTATTTTTTTTACTGTCTGGGATCTGTCCCCCTAGGCCTTGTTTCACACATAATCAGCTGTGCCCTTGAAGCAGTCCTGCTCGCCCAGGACTGTGATATCTCTGATTAAAGTGTATCCCCTTATCACCCCTATCCATAACAGAGTGCCACAATCATGGTCTAAACTCTTTGTCCAACCCCCAGATATTCTGCCTGTACAACGGGCTGCTCACAGAAACGGGAGAAATACTCTTTTTAGTTACCAAAAATGATGCTTGTATTTTTAATTGCATTCCCCTAATTATGAAATATACTTAACTCAGTGCTTCTGCCCACAGATATACAGAGGTAGGTTTATCAGTGATAGACAAACAGAAAGCTAGGTATTAGAAAAGAAGAGGATATTGTAAAGACAATTAGTACAAACAATGGAAAGGTGATTAGACATGTGAACAGACAGGGAGGCACACAAATTAGGTCCATAATGTGTCTCTGCCACGGTCAGATGCACATCCCGAGACTTGCCCTGTCCACTTGCTCTCACTTGCATGTGCTAAATCTAGAAAAGCACCAAAACCACACCAAGGGTGTCCCCCCTACACTTGAGACTTTGATCTTCAGTAAGTTTGAGAACAGCTGTTGGGTACATCTCAGAGAGCACATCTACATGAGATATTTACTGTGGAGTAGACTAATTAGCTCCGCAGTAAACATCTTATGTCTACATATGTGACCATATTAGGTAGCGGGAAACTAATTAACTTGGCAGCAGGGCAGTACTTGTAAATACAGCAGCGCATGTGGACATTGATGTGGCTGCCTGTCTGCCAGCTAACGCTGCACTGCAGCACCCTTGTGCCCCAGCCAGCCCCTCTGCAGCATGGTGAGCCGTGTTGGACCAGCTCCAGGCTGGCAAGCTTACCTCCCCAGGCCTCCTGCCAGCCAGGGCTGCTCTGACCCAGCTCCATGTTCTGTGGTCCTGGGTAAATGTGTAAATATGGTGCCCAGAAGCAATAAACACTAAGTGTCAGTTTATTGCTTCATCTTAATAGCACATGTAAGCATGCCCAGAGATACTCCACCACTGCACTGCCAAGTTTGGCATGTGCAAGTGGAAGCTGAGGCCTATAGGATGTGTGCTTTCCCCTGTACAGAGCAGCAGCAGGGATGCAGTGTAGTCACACCCATAGTCCTAAATTTAGGTGGGCAATTGGGCAGATAGTCATATAAATAATATGGTAGAGAAATAAACGAAGGGGGGAAAAGGGACAGGAGGTGCCAAGGAGGAAATGGGTAGAGCTCGGACAGCTAGGTACCAAGACAGGCAATTAGGAAGCTGACTATCCAGGTAGGCTGTTGGATGCATGGACAGTGAGATGGTCAGCTATTAGACAGATGAAGCAGCGTGAATACAGGATTATACACATCAGTACATCTCATCAGGTGAACTGCTATAAAAATAACCCTGGCAGAACCTCTACTTGCAGGCCCACAGTTGTATAGGGGCAGCAAATGATGTTTATCCTTTACATACCTAAATGGCATATGCATAGCTGCATAACTGTGGTTTTTGGGCCCTAATACACAGCATTTCCTGAGCCTGTGCTGCAGCCAGGCAGCTGTCCAAGGGAAATAGTATCACACATGTATAAAACTGGGAAAGTCTGAAAATTTGAGCTAGAGGGGAACCCCCCCCCCCCCCAAGCTATTGGGTGCTAAATAGAAGAGGAGGGCCTTCTCAGCTTTTATTCAAATAGCTCCTGCTGATTTAAGGTGCTTGTCTAGGGAACTGGAGACCCAGATCCTAATTCCCCAAAACCACCCAAGATGGGGTTGAATATGCAGGCACTGCTGCCGTGGAAAATGATCTAATCACTGGCCTGTATGTTCAAACCCCTCCGGGGTGAAGGGCAGGGATGAAACAGGGAAGCTCTGAATTACAGACAAGTCCTAGTTGCAGCAGCAGCTGTTTTTGCACACATACCCCTGCACACGGCTGTTGGTCTTGAGGAATTAGGACCTGACCTGGGTCTCCAGTTCCTTAGACAGGGGTCTGCTACATCATCATAACCAGATCAGGCTGTTTCCCAAAGAAAATTACAGGCTAAATCTTGTTCCATTTCACATACCTAAGTGGTAGGTACGTAGTCATGCAATCAATGTTTTTGGCACTTGCATGCAGACAGAGGAGGAAGGTGACCCTTCCAGGTTTTAGCCCACTAGCCTAAAGGTTAAGGCACTTGCCCAGGGAGCAGGAGACATGGGCTTTAGTCCCCCAAATGCACAGGGGTTATAAACAGCTTCCTAGCAAAACACTTTAACTGACAGTCCATAGGCTAGGCCTCGCCCAAAGTACCATCTGGTTGAAAATGGGGCACTGCACCTTGCATTTAATACTGTATAAAAGCAGTGGGGCAGTTCCCACATTAATGGGAGCAGGGGGAGAGGATAAAACCCCTGGACTCTGCTTTTGGGGTAGCAGCTATCTCACAGAACAACACACCCTTTGCCATGAGCTCTTTCTTTGGGGCACACACAGCTCCCTCTTTTAGATGCCCAGTGTGTCAGCTGCAAGAGGAGGGCATTATCCTGAGCATTGTCCAGTCTACCATGCCATTATTCTGACTTTTTAGTTTAGGATGCACCCATCAGATAACCAGAGTGACAGACCAGGTGCCTTTGTCTGGCCTAGTCAGTCTTCAGGGCTCCTTACTCCTCAATTTAGTCCACTGGTTGGTTTGCTCTTCAGTTTAGTCCATGAGCTATGCCAGGGGCCCACCAGCCACCCCCCTGGGACACAAAAATGCTTCCCATTTTCTTCTCACACACTTCCTCTGTCAGTAATAGGGCTAAGAGTCCCTGTTACCTGGCCCCCCCCCCCCCCCCCCCCCTTTTATCCCCAGGATTCACATTTGGTGTCAGACTGTCTTCTTCCTCCTCTTTCTTAGAGAGAAAAATCTGCATTTGAGTGTTTTGGGGTGTCAAAACCTCTCTGGGATTTGCAGTCCAGAATTACAGCTGCAGAACTTCTGCATTCCCCATTCTCTGGTGCCCCCCACTGACCATCATACAGCTCTAGCCCAGGGCTTGGCTCCTAGTGTGGCAGGAACTATCCCAATGTTGTTTACCTAATGAATAGATGCAAGTTGAAGTGGGCATGCTTCCAGAAGAGTCTGTCCTGGTTCATGCCTAGCCCATGGCTTAGTGGTTGCAGTCTGGTGCCAGGGAGCATAAGATACGGATGCAGACCCTCTCAAAGCTCTCTAATCATCCTCCTGATAGTCACAATTTTTGCCCATCTAAAATATTAGTACCTGCCTGGCATTATTCAGGTGCCTGGTTGATTCTGTTCCCAGCTTCCCATCTCCACCAGAGCAGCTTCATGGTCATAGTGCACCTTATTGACCATTCCCTGGGTAAGAGAATGGGTGAACGTAACCTCCTGGATCCAAAACTGTGCATAAGTGCCCCAAACTGTAGTTATGTGACTACATAACTGCATAACAGTTATGTGACTACACCAGTCACTTTGGCATGTGAAGGGTAAATATCTGGATTCGGCTCTTAGCCACTTATGTGCAATCTTGTTCCACGCCGCTGGAGGAGCTGAAAGACTCTTAATGCAAAAAGTGGGTGAGTTGCCCTCCTTCTCACTCCTTTTCTGTGACTTAATCTGAAGGTTAAAATGGGAAGGGGGTTATGAAAGTTGACCTGTTAGTCAAGTTTTGCAGAGACTTAAACATCATGGAGTAGGAGTGCGCCTGAGCACCTAAGAACCACTTTTATGCTTAAGGGGTGAAATAGCTCTTAGGCCAAAAACTTAGTTTTTTCTCTTCTTTTTTTCCAGTAGAATTAGGGGAAAAAACATTTTGTTTGTTATGTTTTATTTGACCTGATAAGTTTTGTTTGACCTGAATTCAGATTCTTTTGACTTTTGGTTAACATTTTTCCTTTTAATATAAGTCGGAGTATGAATGCAGTTTTGGAACAGAAAGTTACAGGTTTAAGTCTGAAAATGTAAAAATTAATGCTTTACCAAAAAAACCCAGATTGATCATAGCGGGCATTCTGAAACAAAATATTTCAGTATTTTTTTTTTTTTAAATCTATTTACCCAGATGAAACTATTGGCCACATTTCACCCCAATAATCTCTATCCAACAAAGCTACATTTTTGGGCAAATTTACTTTTTAGGCAGGGGAGACCTGTTCCAATACAGTGAATTTTTGTAATCTAATTCCCTTACTTTCCTTGAAAAATCCCAGTCTTCAATATTTAAAAGGTACAATTACTTTCTCTGACTGCATGGGAGGTGAATTTGCCCCCTTGTGAGGCATGTAGTATCATGTAAAATTTTATGAACCTCCTTCAAACTTTAATACAAAAGATTGAGGAGGTAGCTTTGTTATTTAATGCTCTTCTCAGGGTCTCCCTTACTTCCCTGTTCCTCAAACTGTAGATAATGGGATTTAGCAATGGAGACACTACTGTGTAGACTACGGACACCAGTTTGTTGAGGTCAAAGGTGCCAATGGCCCTGGGCCGGACATACATGAATATGGTGGTGGCGTAGAACATGGAGACGGCCACTAAGTGGGAAACACAGGTAGAAAATGCTTTCTGCTTCCCAGCAGTAGATGGGATCTTGGCCACTGTGGTGAAGAGACAGATATAGGAGCTTCCAGTCACCAGCAGGGATGGCATAAGGACAGACAGAGCTGCCATGAAGTCTAATATCTCAACGGTGGAGGTGTCTGTGCATGACAGCTTCAAAATTGGTGAGATGTCACAGAAGAAATGTCCTATGGTGTTAGAACCACAGAAATTCAGCTTGGAAATCATCACAACAGATGGGAATGAAGCCAGGAAGCCACTGAGCCAGGAAGCCAGAATAAGAACCACACAGACTCTGGGATTCATAAGGCCTGAATATTGTAGAGGGTGGCAGATGGCTAAATAGCGGTCGTAGGCCATGGCAGCCAGGAGAAAGCACTCGGAAGAACCAAGAGACAAGAAAAAAAATAGCTGAAGCATGCAGCCCCAGAGAGAAATGGCCTTGTCCCCCAGCAAGAAGTTGGAGAGCAACTTGGGAATTGTCACTGACACATAGAGGATTTCTAAGAGGGAGAGGCTGCCCAGGAAGAAGTACATTGGGGTGTGTAAATGGTAGTTCAACCTGATGGTCATTATCAAGAGCACATTCTCCATCAGAATAACCAAATATATGAACAGGAACAGCACAAAGAGCAGCACCTGGTGCTCCAGGGGTCCTGGGAAGCCCATGATGATGAATTCTGTGTGGGAGTGAGAGGAGTGGTTCCTCTTTCCCATATCTGCAGTCTGCTTTTCCTTCTGCCAAGACAACCAATAGGAAAACTGTGTGAAAAAGCTATGGGTGAGATGTGGCAGGAAACAACAATTCAAACTCCCTAAAGAAAAACCATGGTCAATTCTATTTCTTGCTATTCCTTGTTCTCATCTGCTTAAAAGCCTGCTGCTTTTTCAGCTACAACTGGAGGACCTTCCCTGGTGGCTTTTCTGCTCTTGCTTAGCATTATACTCCAGTTTCACTTGATGGCATCTCCATGTTAACTCCTTACCTACTAGAGAGTTTTCCATCCCTTGCTCCCCCTGCTCTTAGTCCATTTTGGTTCAGTGGGCATGTCTACACATGCATAATCAGGCTACACAATAAGTTGATTGAAAATGGTACTTTGAACATCCATTAAGTAGATCATCCATTCTATTATTTCAGCCCTGTATTTAGTTGTGAGCACATGATATTGTGACTCAGGTTTTCATCCCAGAGTTAAAGGAGTCACTCACAAGTAGCTACCTGAAATCCCTCAACACATTTCTGTTGCCTGCATAAATCAGATGGACCATTTTTTTTTTTTTTTTTTTTTTTTTTTTTTTAAATGAATGGAGATATGTAGGTGTAAACAAAGAACAATTTCAAGATACAAGAGCATAAGTCAGGCAGAATTTATTGTATTGACTTGGATCCATGAGAGAGAGAGGAACCCAACCCAGAGGAATATTAGTAAATGCAATGGAAATATCACTCTCATACTTATTATAGTAGGTTTTCTCTAGTGACTTTAGGGAATTAAGTGACCAGCTCACCTTTGGCTTTCAGTGGACATTGAATACTTCATGCCATTTATTCCTTTGAAATATCCAGTTCCCTTTTATATAACTTTTGAAACACTAAACTATATGAAATTCCCAGGACAACTACCAAACTACTAAGTCTGCTTGTTTAAAATGATGTACTAGGTAGCCTCTCTATTGACAATGGCAAAAATTATAGTAGAATCTAACCCAAATGTATCCACCTTCCACCAAAAATTACCCTTCAAACATATAGTCCCCGTCTTATTTAAATCACTACTCAAAGAATGTGCTAAGGAAAATTCTATGCAAATACAAATCAGCAAGGCTTCATGGAAATCAAGGGGGATATGTAGAAATTCACATTAGCTGACGATCTAGGCTATCATGCTATTATTATATTACTTAATTTACCTGAGTATTCAAGGTCCGAAGTTGAAGGAACCTTTATTCATACATAGGAATATAAGATTGGAAGCAGCCTTCTCAACTACTGGATCCATACACCTGCATTTAAAGGCACTTTTCCAAAGAAGTCCATAAGAAAGTTCACTCTGGCCTTAGGAAAGAGAAAGAGAGACAATGATACCACCAATGCCCTGACCATCTCCTCACTAGAAGTGAATTCTTTTTCCAAATGCCAACCACTGAAAGGGAGACCATGATCCTCAGTATAGATCTGATGGAGAACAAATTGCCTGTCTGATCATTTTCCTCAGCGGTATGGAGCACAAAGCTTTGTGTTTTTCCAAGAACATGATGCCTCAGTTGCAATTCTGGCTCTCTCTGATTCTGACTGGTGGACAAAAGTATATATGTTACTCTAGAAAAACCTTTGGGGACCAAATTCCCAACTCCTCAACTCTTTCCCCCAAGTGTTATTACCTCATGGCTTATTTATTGGAGATTGCACAAGCAGTTCCACTTTCATTAACCATACAGGGAGTTATCTGCCATCACCCTGGTCCTCAGTGACCATTCTATCTTACTGTGAGTGAAGGGCTATGAAGTCTCTCTCTCTTGAGTCTGTGTGAGTTTGTCATGATTTCTCAGGTCACATATTTAGGTGTACATAGACTCGTTGTCAACAAAATCATGGTCTTTCTGCTATCAGTACATTTCTATGATCAGCTATAAAGGCAGGTTGCATGAATGTACTATTCTCCATCTTCTATACTAGACCATATTGTAGTCGCTAAAGAAATCTCTCTCATACATATGCATTCATGACCATATATACACATTTTGATATCCTATAGATCAGTCAATCTATGTATCCATTCATATGTGCACCTGTCAGGCTCTCTTGCTTTCCATCCCTAAATATGTGTTTAAAAAAAGATGTCTTTCTACCTCGTATAACTAGGGACATATTCAAATCACTATTTTGTGAACTTCACAGAAATCATAAAATCATAGTTTCATAGTTGGTAGGGTCGGAAGGGACCTGAGCAGATCATCAAGTCCGACTCCCTGCCATGGGCAGGAAAGAATGCTGGTGTCAAACAACCCGGGCTAGGTGATTATCTAGCCTCCTTTTGAAGACCCCCAAGGTAGGAGTAAGCACCACTTCTCTTGGAAGTTGGTTCCAGATCCCAGCTGCTCTGACTGAAGTAGTGCTTCCTGATGTCCAGCCCGAACCTACTCTCAGTCAACTTATGGCCGTTATTCCTAGATACTCCGGGTAGTGCTCGGGGGAACAGGCTCTCTACCATTCCCCGCTGGTCCCCCTTAGTAAGTGTATAGATGGCCACCAGATCCCCTCTAAGCCTTCTCTTGTGGAGGCTGAACAAGTTCAGGTCCCATATCTTCTCATAGGGCCTGCCCTGCTGCCCCCTGATCATGTGAATGACCCTCCTCTGGACCCTGTCAATGCTGTCCACATCCCTCCTGAAGTGTGGTGCCCAGAACTGGATGAAGTATTCCAACTGCAGCTTGACCAATGTCGCATAGAGGGGGAGGATCACCTCCTTGGACCTGCTCATGATGCACCTTTGGATGCATGACAAGGTGCGGTTAGCCTTACTCATCCTCATATTGGCAGCCCATGTTCATCTTAGAATCAATAATGTCAGTATTGAACCCCATCCTATTCTCATCTGCCCACCCTTGTAACCTGTCCAGATCTAGTTGCAGCCTGTCCCTCCCTTCTAACTTGCCCACTTCTCCCCGCATCTTAGTGTCATCCGCGAACTTGAACAAGGTGCTTTTCATCCCCTTATTCAAGTCGTTGATGAAGATGTTGAACAGTGAGTGCCAGAGGACCAAGCCCTGGGGAACCCCACTGCCCACACCCCTCCAGGTCAAAAATGATCCGTCCACCACCACTCTCTGGGTGCGGCCCTCCAGCCAATTTGCCACCCATCTGACTGTAGGCATCGACGCCACAGTCACTTAATTTTTTAATGAGAATGGGGTGAAAGACAGTGTCAAAGGCCTTCCAAAAGTCCAGAAAGACTACGTCCACTGTGACACTTGCGTCCAAGGGTTTTGTGACCTGGTTATAGAAGGCCACCAGGTTGGTCTGACAGGACCTGCCTCTAATGAACCCATGTTGGTTGCCCCTAAGCATAATCTCCCCTGTTGGTCCCTCGCAGATGTGTTCTTGGATAATTTTATCAAAGAGCTTCCCCAGGACTGAGGTAAGACTAATAGGCCTATAGTTTCCTGGGTCCCCCTTCCTCACTTTTTTTTGAAAATGGGGACCACATTGGCCCTCTTCCAATCCTCCGGCACCTTGCCAGAGCACCACAAGCGCTTGTAGAGCTGTGCCAGGGGTCCCGCAGTGGCCTCTGCCAATTCCCTCAGCACCCTTGGGTGGAGATCGGATGTGTTCAAATCAGCAGGTCCAGATGATCTCTGTGAAAATCTGGCGATCTCTGTAAAATCTGCAGGGGGGAAGAATCTTACTAAAAATAAAATACTGCCTTCCCAGTGGGATCCGTCAGTCCTCCCATCTGCATAACCCAGCATGAAGGGAACTGCTGGCACAAAGGCGAGCAGGCAAGATGGCTGCCACCCCCACCCCTCACTGATGATTGGTTGAGAGAGTAGTTTGTAGTGTGGCTCCACTCCTCTGACAATCAGTGGCAAGGGGTGGGGCCACATAACATACTGCCCTTTCAGGCAATCAGCAGTGAAGTGCAGGACCATATCATGCACAGCCCTCCTCACCAATCGGGGGCAGGGAGCAGAGCCACCAGGGCCCCTCAGCCTGTCGGAGCAGGGCTACCACATTAAGGCCACAAAAATGGCAGATGGCCCAATGATCTGCCTGAAAAATTGGCTTGCCACCACCTTGAGTTGGGTAGATCCCTACATATAACTATTATAGTCCCTAAGTATTGAACTCTCCATGCTCTTGTAAAGTTTAAAAACAATTTCATAGCAAAATTATTTTTATGTAAACTCATTCATCTGAATAAAGAACTTGTCCGTCCGTCCATCCATCCATCTAAACAAACTTTTAAGGAGCCTAACAGAATTTGGGGCCCTGCTCTGCCACTACTGAGCATAGTGTAATTGGGGCCCCATGCTTCTCCCAGTTGGTTCTACATGCCAGAATTTGGGCTCCAGACCACTTCTGCCCAGTCTGTGTGCTAGCTCCAGAGCCACGGCTCCCCAAACCACCCCTGCCCGGTCCCACGTGCTAGATTTGGAGTCCTGGGGCCTCACACTGCCTTCACCCTGTCCTGCATGTTGGGATTGGGTCTTGGTGCTCCACTCTGCCCCTGTCCACTCTGTGTTCTAGGATCAGGCCCTGGGGGCCAATGCAACCTCCACACCATCCTGCACACCCAATGTAGAGTGGAGGGCCAGATCTGGCCTAGGGGCCAAAAGTGGAACATCCCTGCTGTAACCTATATGGGCACCTTTTGGGCACCTGATTTCCTCCAAAAGTCTGTCCCTTGGGTTTCTAAATCATGGAAGTGATTTTGCAAAGGTGCCTAAATGAGAGACAGATCCTAACTGGATACCTGCATTAGGAGTCAGGTCACTTAAAACTAGGAACCTGAGGGGATTCACACTCACATCTCCCACTTCTCTATCCAGTGGGCTATAGAATAGTCTGAGTGGGAGAGCCTTCCACACATCTTATCTCATGAACTCTCATAGGGTGCACAGGGCCTGTAACCTGCATCTCCCACCTCTCAGAAAGGTGCTCTAATAGCCAGTCCTTTATGGAAAAGGTCACAACTGCTGGTGTTTATGGAGAT